GAGCCGCCACCGAAAAGCCCTGGCCCTGGCTGCGGCCAGCCTGGCCTCTCTGGGACCTGGGATTGCCAGGAGATGTTGCGTCCCAGACCGAAGTGCTTGTGGGGAAACATATGAGGAAAGGCGGTCCCTTAGGTAAGCTGGACCCAGACCATATAGGGCTTTAAAGGTAAGAACCAGAACTTTGAAGCAAATCCGGTACGCTATTGGCAACCAGTGCAGCGCTTTCAGCACAGGCTTGATGTGGTCCCTGCTAGGAAGACCCATCAACAGCCTGGCCGCAGCATTCTGCACTAGCTGCAGCTTCCGGATTTGCGACAAAGGCAGCCCCATGTAGAGAGTGTTGCAGTAGTCTAGCCTCGAGGTGACCGTCGCATGGATCACCGTGGCCAAGTCACTGCGGTCGAGGAAGGGAACCAACTGCCGCACCAGCCGTAGATGGTAAAAGGCTGACTTGGCAGTGGCTGCCACCTGAGCCTCCATAGTTAACGAGGAGTCCAGGAGCACTCCCAAACTCCTAACCTCCGGCGTTGGCACCAGAGGCACCCCATCGAAGGTCGGGAGAGGGAGCCCCAACCCCAGGCCACCACGACTCAGCCCCAGGACCTCCGTCTTCGCCCCAGGCGAATAGCAAAAGATTTATAGGATTTTTAAAAACTTTGGTCATATGGCTTAAGTGCAATTTTTAGACACACTAATTAGTGCTTTTTTGCAAATAAAATATAAAACATCAACCAGATTTTAAAAATGTCCCCCTCAGTTTTACTTCCCCATGCATAACAGCAAATATGTGAATCTTTCTGTGTAAATACTTTTGCCTGCCTGTACAACTACCACCTGCAGGAAGCCAAGCCAAGACAGAAACTTCAAATAAGGACACCCCAGGGGGAAAACATACAGCAAATAATACAAGTTTTATTATTTATACTATATAATATACATATGAGTAATATAAACCCAACATAAATACAATACATTATAATTAAAGTTGGATGTGGAAACAAAGAAACAATTCCCGCTGGTATAAATTTCAGAAGTATTTTTAGCAAAGAAAACAGGTACATGCAAACAAAATCTTCAAACAGCCTGCTGATGAGAAAACCCTGCAAATTATTATACATCTGCACTACAATGGAGACTGCTACAAGCCTTCCAAAAAAAAAACCAACCCGTTAACCTACTTCTGTGTTCAGCAGCAAAATGTCCAAATACAGTTCAGTATTTTACACCATCATTTAAACCCTCAATATTCTTCTAGAAATATGGCCCAAGTTCCTCCTTTTGCTCTTAATATTCCTATTTCTTCTATGCAAGAATAAATTTCATTTTTATTAGTATTCAAGTAAATTTTACAGCTCTCTTTCTACCTGTCATCCCTAGTATTCATAGCTTCTTGCGGATTTGTGCATTCTCTATTTTAGCATTATGCAAAACAGATGATGAGCAAATGTACGGATAGTTACAATAGTGTATTTTAAAGACTGCAAGAATTTCTGTGGGGAAAAAGTACACTGCAAGCAGTTCTAAGAAGGTCCCACTTCTAAACTGATTGAAGTTTTCAGGACCCACTTACAAAGTGATTTCACACCACAACTACCACAACTTAATACATAAGGATTCCACACTGGAAAATGACCATTGGATACTCACCTTGAAGGGTCCATCTCCTCTGTGGCTTGGAGGACCATCTTGCGGGGTGATTCCCATCCATCACTCAGGGAGGCAGGATTAAATTCAAACTTTTTATTTCCTGTGGTGGGAGTCACCCTGGGCTCAGTTCTGGTGCTCCCTAAGCAGTGTTTTAATAATTAACCTTTTATAAATAATAATAGGAAAATACCTTAATAACCTCCTAACATATATATAGAAACAGCCACAGTAACATGAACAGGAAAAATTATAATATATAAGGCTTGTACTCTCTCTCTTTCTGTTTGCCAGGCATGGAGGAAGGAATAGTACAGGAAAAAAGTAACGGAAAGTAAAGAAGACGACCCGGGAGGGCCAAGATGTCCTCCAAGCCTCAGAGGAGAAGGACCCTTCACGGTGAGTATCCAATGGTCGTTCTCCCTCTGAGGTGGAGGCCATCTTGTGGGACCTCCCAGAGCAGTGTCCCTAAATGTTGGGAGGGAGGTCGTCTTTGCAGGAAAGGACAGACTGAAGCACTCTCCTGCCAAAGGCTGCGTCTGCAGAGGCATAAAAATTGATTTTATAGTGCTTAATGAATGTGGACGGAGATGACCATGTAGCAGCCTTGCACACTTCCTCCACTGAAGCTTTATTGATGAAAGCAGCATTCATAGCCGCACTGCATAGGGAATGTGCCATAATTCCCTCTGGTGGGCTCAGTTGTAGGCTCTTATAAGCTTCAGCTATGCACGATCTAAGTACTTTACTTATGGCCACACTTGACATCTTCTTTCCCATGTGGGGGGGGGGATGTTCACAAACAAGGCGAGCTCGTTCTGTAAATGTAGCACTTAAGTGCCCTTCTTACGTCCAGAGCATGCCAAAGCTTCTCCTTAGGATGTGTGGGGTTTGGAACGAATGACGGTAAGCATAGCTCTTGCACTCTATGAAACTGTGTGTTGATTTTAGGACAAAAGGTAGGATCTGTTCTCAGAACAACCTTCTCCTTGTGGAAAACACAGAGGTCTGATCGGATGGATAATGCACTCAGCTCTGATATCCTCCTTGACGAGGTTATGGCTACCAAAAAGAGAACCTTCATCCTTAGGAACTGCAAAGAAATTTGTCTGATTGGTTCAAATGGGGCTTTTGTGAGTGCCGTGAGAACTGTGTTGAGTTTCCAGGTAGGAAACCTGTGTTTCATTGAAGGAAGTTTAGCAGATGCTCCTTTTAGGAAGTGTACTATGTGAGGATGTTGAGAAATTGAAGTGCCCTTATAAAGCAGGAGAATTGAGGCTAGAGCGGCTACCTGTCTTTTTAGTGTCGCAGCTCTAAGACTGTTAGCCATGCCATCTTGTAGGAATGCCAGTACTGACGCAATCTTAGGATGTAGAGAATCTACCTTCTTCCTTCTGGACCATCGAATGAAGGCTTTCCATGTACAATTATATATCCTGGAACTTGACGGTCTTCT